GAAAAAAAATGGGAGACAAGAGAAAGAGAGAGAGAGAGAGAGAGAGAGAGAGAGAGAGAGAGAGAGAGAGAGAGAGAGATGGGGGGGGATAGCCTACAGGTTCTGTGGGCAGCGTACTCGCAGGATCGCAAACTGTGCCTGGTCAGGCGAATAGATGGATCGACAAAAATATCGGGGCCTCGATACAACCCCTGAATGTGATGGTGGTGAACCTGTGTTGCCAGGATAAACCCCAACGATAAAGTCGGGATTCTCACGTTTGGGGAGTGGTGAAGCGAGACCTAGACACGAGCAGAGGCCAATGCCAGCTAGAGGAGCTTGCCTCCCTCGGGAGTGCCTCATCCTGGTCCATGTTCGCAGGGCATCGACAGCCAGTAGCGGACGGACGGACGGAGATGTGGGTGCTGGCCAATGTGTTCGTCCTCGTGCCTGGGCGGCAAAATGTATTTGTGGAAGGAAAAAAAGCCAGAAACACATGCTCATCCAAACACATATTCTGCATGTGCCCGCGCGCGCGCGCGCGGGGGCGGGGCACAAAGTATTTGTGAAAGAGAAAAGGCGAGAAACACATGCGCGCGCGCGCGCGGCACAAAGTATTTGTAAAAGAGAAGAAGCCAGAAACACACGCGCGCGCGCGCGCGGGCAAGAGAGAGAGAGAGAGAGAGAGAGAGAGAGAGAGAGATGTCATTCCTTTTTCTTGTTTTGGGTAGAAAGCTGCGTACTCGTAGTGCGCCTAGCCGTGCTCTCCGAGGCCAATGCATGGATCGGCACAAACATCGGGGCTCAATACAACAACCGCTGAGTGTGGAGGTGGTGAGCGTGTCTTGCCAGCTTCAACCGCAGAGATAAACTCGGGATTTTCATATCTGTGGAGTGGTGAAACGAGACCTACCTACAAGCAGCGGCCAATGGCAGGTAGAGGAGTTTGTGTTTGTATCCCTCGGAGTGCTTCTTATTTGTCCATGTTCACACGGCATCGACAGCCAGGAACGGACCGACGGAGATGTGACTGCCGACATCTGTGTGTGTCCTCGTGCCTGGGCGGCACGATGTATTTGTGAAAGAGACAAAACGAGAAGAACATGTTCATACAAACAAATACGCACTCCGTAGACAACTGCATGCCCCCGCACGCGCGCGCGCGCGAGAGAGAGAGAGAGAGAGAGAGAGAGATGGGGCAACGAGACGGTCTTTTTTTTTCGGCCTGGGGGGAGGGAGACCAGACCTACGCGCAAGCAGCGGCCAATGGTTTCCGGAAAGAAAGCAGAACATTTCTTTTTGTATCCTCAGAGTGCTTCGTCTTTAGCCACAGGTTTCCGGAAAGCCACAGAACATTTCCGCCACCGGACCGCCCTCCGCGGAGTCCTTGGAAGAACGTTTTTTTTCTCCAAGACTGGGTGTCCGGGACCCCACAACAAGATTTTTTTTTATTATTTTTTTTTTTTTTACAATCAATTCATGGCTCCAAATGCCCTCCGCGGAGTCCTTGGAAGAACGTTTTTTTTCTCCAAGACTGGGTGTCCGGGAACCCACAACAAGATTTATTTTTTTATTTTTATTTTTTTTACAATCAATTCATGGCTCCATCTGTTCGTGGGGAGCAGCACGTGCTAGAAAACGGGTCCAGCGTCCCATATACATAAAGATCACAGTACAAGCACATGCTGAAACCCATACCTCTTCTCCAACCAAGGGGCAGCAGAAAACTTTTAACGCCTACGCTATGCCTCTAACTGCCCACTCTCAGCATTGTGAGGGAAGATCTTACCAAGATCTTCCCTTTGTTAGGTCCATAAATCATCTAGTCTATTCTAGGCAACTATGTACGGCTTCACAAGTTACATCAACATTAAACAACACAGATAGTAGCCAAAGCAGACGTAGGCACTGTATCACCCGCAGTCATGACCGCGGGCCATTTTACCGCATGAGGTCATGGTCATGCCCATGGGGGGCAGCCGCGATAGTGTAATAGGCCAAAAAAAACAAACAAAAAAGGGGTTGTAGGGTTTGAAATTCCCTACATCCCCATATTTGTTTTTTTGGATTTTGATGCATTTTAGGATTTAAAAAAAAAAAAAATGAAAAAAAAAGTATTAAACTCAAATGCAAGGAAAATGAGCGATAGCGAACTTCAGAAACCAAACAGCCTCATACACATGACCTCGAACCAATAGCAGAATTGCATCACGAGTCCCACCAAATAAGAGCACAGCAAAAACTCATAATTGACAATGCTGGAATAGTCTCATCATCATCAACAAAGAACCAATGTGGATATCCTATCTGGCGGCGCCCAGACCACAGATGGCAGATCCTATCTAGCTGCAATGACTCGCTGTTTTCTGGTCGCCTGCAGCCTCTCTTTGTCGAGGCTGTACTATAGGTAGGACAGATTCGTAATTTTGTTTGGCTGAGGGCTAACAGAGAGACCTACTCGTGAGGGAAATTCGTGAGGGACATATCTGCAAATTCAAGAAAATACAGGCCCGGTACTAACCAGATTCCCTACAGCTACCCTAACTGCGGATAGCAGGCCCAGGCTACCCCTAGGACAGACAGGCCATAAGGGCCGATTCTGATACACGGTCCTATAGCCTATAGCCGGGTCCGGTAGAGGCCAAGAGGCCGAAACAGAAACGGTACCGGTCGGTCAGTCAGTCCGGTCTAGGTCGAGTCTAGGCTAGTTGTAGTCTATAGATAGATTGGGCACATCGGTTCAGGGCTTTTGGCAGTTGGTACCGAGTACATCGCTGCTGTGCTACGCGTGAACCGGAAGTGGTGACGGTTCAGCGTGGAAGGAGACAGGCATAGCCAGACCTTCGGAACGCCGGCCATAGCTGGGACCTGCGCTGTACTCTGCCAGCACGCAGGGGCTGATAGAGGTCTGGGTTATCGAGGTCTGCTGGAGGCGAGAGAGATTGGTGCCTTGCTGGACCCTCCTCCGGACTGGGGTCCCAGGGGGGTTGCGCTGCTGCCATAGCTGCAGCCTCTTCTTCTCAGAGGTCATCTTGTCAGGGTTTGGTGGCGCTGCTGCAGACTTCCACCCGGGAAGTCTTTCGACACTTCGTCATCATCAGATACTGTGGCGCTGGTCTTCTTCTTCATCCTCTGAGTGGCGCTTGGCCTCAGAGGCCTACTTCAGAGTGGCGCTGCCCCCAGGAGGCTGTATCTGGGTGGCGCTTGATGTTTCAAGGACTTAGGGGGTATCACGGGTGTTATTCAGGGTTAGGGAGTGAAGCGCTGCTCATTTCTGCGCAGCGCAGTGTACTACTGAAGTTACCCTGACAATTCGAGACTCTGAGTTTAATAATTAGTGTGATACTGTGTTTGGACTATCATCGTTTCATTGTTTCCTGGATGTGAACTGCTCGGCTTTTCTCTATGACTGGTTGTGAGGATTGAGTGGAGTGAATTGCACTTTCAGTGTACCCTGTCATATCGCATGGTCAAGTCTTCCACTGTGTTTATCTCTCCCTATGCGGTGTGATACTCCTATCCTCTCACCTTGCTTCTGTGTATGTATGGGCATACCTGGAAGTCTATGTGAGTGAGTGTTGGCCTACAGGCAACAAACAACCAGAATCATAACATAGCCTACTATCTACAATGCCGCTGGTGACATCAGCA